GCCCGCCCCCCCGCTGGGACACAGCCCCGCGCTGGGATGCAGCCCCACGCTGGGACGCAGCCCCACGCTGGGACACAGCCCCGCACTGGGATGCAGCTCCTCGCTGGAACGCAGCCCCTCGCTGGAACGCAGCCCCCCATGCTGGGATGCAGCTCCACATTGGGATGCAGCCCCATGCTGGGACACAGCCCCTCACTGCAGCGGTTGCTCTGCCCCATTCCCCTCCAGCCCTCCCGTCCCCTCTTGCCCTGGATGCCGCAGCCCCAGCTCGAACACCTGATTTCGCAGCTCAGGGTGGGGACTCTGGGTCCCCTGCCCCGGCCCTCCCTGCTCTGTTTTCCCCCAGCAAAGCCAACGCGGCTCCTTTGCAGCGACTAATCCTGCATCAGCTCTGGTTTTGCCTCCGCTAATTCCTCCCGAACCCCCCGGCTACGGCCATGACAGATGTCCTGCAGCACTAAATCAATACCATCTCCCGGGCTGGTTTTCTTCCCTTTTCTGCCCAGAGCACCCCTTTGGCCTCGCTCCCTTCTTATCCATCCAGCACAGCTTTTCCAGCCTCAGCCTTCACACCGGGTTATTGCCCAGCCCAGCTGCTCCCATCTGGTTTTCACCATGTAACCTTTCCTTTAGCCTTAAAGACTCCTTCTGCCCCTCTGCTTCACTCTCTCCTTCTCTCTGCTGCATGTGATGGGCTTTTTTATTTTTCCTCACGCACATACTTTTGCTACACACCATCATTCATCACTATCTATTTGAGGCAGCTGTACAGAACGTTCAGGTACTTAAACTTTGCTCCTCGTCCCCTACCACCACCGCTGACTTCATCAGCTCAGTTCTTGGGAGAACAAAGTGCAAAGGCATTTAGCAGATTTTTTTTTCCTCCCTCACGTTTGTCCTGATGAAATGTGACAACCTGTGCACAGACACCAGCTGTGATTTCACCAGCACTGACACCTGCAGAGCTATATGCATGAACTTTGATGAAAAAGGGGGCCTACAAGAAAGCTGGGGAGGGACTCTTTAGGAGGGCATGTAGTGATAAGACAAGGGGCAATGGCTTTAAACTGAAAAAGAGTAGATTTAGATGAGATCTAAGGAAGAAATTCTTCACTCTGAGGGTGGTGAGGCACTGGAACAGGTTGCCCAGAGAAGTTGTGGATGCCCCATCCCTGGAAGTGTTCAAGGCCAGCTTGGATGAGGCTTTGAGCAACCTGATCTGGGGGAACGTGTCCTTGCCCATGGCAGGGGGTTAGAACTAGATATCTTTAAGGTCCCTTCCAACCCAAACCATTTTATGGTTCTATGAATCAGAAGTAAAATTGGATCTTGCTAGCAAAGCTCTGCCTCCCAACTTCTGAATCAAGCAGTATTGTTTGAAGCCCTTATTTAGCTGTATGGAAGCACCTTTTACTGCGACGACCAGAATATCCCAAATTCCCAGTGTAAACAAAGACAACATCACACGCCATTAGTTTGCACCTTTATTTTTTAAAAATGAAATAGTCAAAGTACTTTCTTTTTCAAATATCGACACATAATATATTAACTTTTAATATTTACAGCGTGTTGCTGGGATGTTCTTGTAGAAAATGCATGCTTCTGGTCTGAAACCCAGAGCAAAATGCATCAGACCATTTAACTGCAGCCATATAACATAAACCTGTACAGTATCCAGTCA